AGTCCTGGAGATGGGAAGTACAGTGCCTGCACTTGAAGGAGGGGTGTTAATGTTGCAGTTTAAAAACTGTAGTGAAAGCACCCTTCTGGCAAGACAGTGATGGAGTGAATGATGGTGAAAGTTTTTCTTTTTCGGCCACCCTGCCTTGGTAGGAATCGGCCAGTGTGATAATAAAAATAATATATATATATAATATATATATATAAAATATATAAAATATATATTTTATATATATTATATATATATATGTATATATATATATACATATATTTTATATATATATATATATATATATATATATATATTAATATATATATATATATATATATATAATATATATATATATATGACGTGCCGAATATGTAAAAATGGTCAATTAGCAAGAACTCATTTAAAATTAAGTCCTTTCTGAAACTTTCTCTTATACGTTTAAAGATATATTTTTTTCATTAATGGTAATGTAAATTTTTTTAATTTTGCACCAGAAGAATCTTAGAAAACTTACCTAACCATTATTATAACAAGAGCAATTTATTTTAGCCTAACCCAACTAAATATATTTTAAATACTTTTTATAATAATTTAATACTAAACAAACACAGTCAAATTATTTTTTTTCGTTAGGTTCAGAATGATTTTGGCGAAATTATTGCATACACGAATTTTCACTTGTCCTATATGGCAAGATGAGCGTTGCTATTTAAGCCAAGATCGCAAGTTCTGCTATTCGGCACGACATATATACATATATATATAATATATATATATATATATAATATATATATATATTTTATATATATATATATATATATATATATATATATTATATATATATATACTTATTAACACACTGGCCGATTCCCCCCAAAGGCAGGGTGGCCCGAAAAGAGAAACTTTCATCATCATTCACTCCATCACTGTCTTGCCAAAAGGGGTTTCTTTACACTACAGTTTTTAAACTGCAACATTAACACCCCTCCTTCAGAGTGCAGGCACTGTACTTCCCATCTCCAGGACTCAAGTCCGGCCTGCCGGTTTCCCTGTATCCCTTCATAAATGTTATTTTGCTCACACTCCAACAACACGTCGAGTATTAAAACCCATTTGTCTCCATTCACTCCTATCAAACACGCTCACGCATGCTCGCTGGAAGTCCAAGCCCCTCGCACACAAAACCTCCTTTACCCCCTCCCTCCAACCTTTCCTAGGCCGACCCCTACCCCGCCTTCCTTCCACTACAGACTGATACATTCTTGAAGTCATTCTGTTTCGCTCCATTCTCTCTACGTGTCCGAACCACCTCAACAACCCTTCCTCAGCCCTCTGGGCAACAGTTTTTGTCAATCCCGCACCTCCTCCTAACTTCCAAACTACGAATTCTCGGCATTATATTACATCACACATTGCCCTCAGACATGACATCTCCACTGCCTCCAGGCTTTTCCTCGCTGCGACATTCATCACCCATGCTTCACACCCATATAAGAGCATTGGAAAAGCTATACTCTCATACATTCCCCTCTTTGCCTCCAAGGACAAAGTTCTTTGTCTCACCCTATCCCCCTCATCAATTCTATGATTCACCTCATCTTTCATAGACCCATCCGCTGACACGTCCACTCCCAAATATCTGAATAAATTCACCTCCTCCATACTCTCTCCCTCCAATCTGATATCCAATCTTTCATCACCTAATCTTTTTGTAATCCTCATAACCTTACTCTTTCCTGTATTCACTTTTAATTTTTTTCTTTTGCATACCCTACCAAATTCATCCACCAATCTCTGCAACTTCTCTTCAGAATCTCCCAAGAGCACAGTGTCATCAGCAAAGAGCAACTGTGACAACTCCCACTTTATGTGTGATTCTTTATCTTTTAACTCCACACCTCTTGCCAAAGACCCTCGCATTTACTTCTCTTACAACCCCATCTATAAATATATTAAACAACCACGGTGACATCACACATCCTTGTCTAAGGCCTACTTTTACTGGGAAATAATCTACCTCTTTCCTACATACTCTAACATGAGCCTCACTATCCTCGTAAAAACTCTTCACTGCTTTCAGTAACCTACCTCCTACACCATACACCTGCAACATCTGCCACATTGCCCCTCTATCCCCTCTGTCATACGCCTTTTCCAAATCCATAAATGCCACAAAAACCTCTTTAGCCTTATCTAAATACTGTTCACTTATATGTTTCACTGTAAACACCTAGTCCACACACCCCCTACCTTTCCTAAAGCCTCCTTGTTCATCTGCTATCCTATTCTCCGTCTTACTCTTCATTCTTTCAATAATAACTCTACCATACACTTTACCAGGTATACTGAACAGACTTATCCCCCTATTATTTTTGTACTCTCTTTTGTCCTCTTTGCCTTTATACAAAGGAATTATGCATGCTATCTGCCAATCCCTAGGTACCTTACCCTCTTCCATATATTTATTAAATAATAACAACAACCACTCCAAAACTATATCCGCACCTGCTTTTAACATTTCTATCTTTATCCCATCAATCCCAGCTGCCTTACCCCCTTTCATTTTACCTACTGCCTCACGAACTTCCCCCACGCTCACAACTGGCTCTTCCTCACTCAGACAAGATGTTATTCCTCCTTGCCCTATACACGAAATCACAGCTTCCCTATCTTCATCAACATTTAACAATTCCTCAAAATATTCCTTCCATCTTCCCAATACCTCTGGCTCTCCATTTAATAGCTCTCCTCTCCTATTTTTAACTGACAAATCCATTTGTTCTCTAGGCTTCCTTAACTTGTTAATCTCACTCCAAAACTTTTTCTTATTTTCAGCAAAATTTGTTGATATCTCACCCACTTTCTCATTTGCTCGCTTTTTACATTGCTTCACCACTCTCTTAACCTTTTTCTTTTTCTCCACATACTCTTCCCTCCTTGCATCACTTCTAGTTTGTAAAAACTTCTCATATGCTAACTTTTTCTCCCTTACTACTCTCTTTACATCATCATTCCACCAATCGCTCCTCTTCCCTCCCACACCCACTTTCCTGTAACCACAAACTTCTGCTGAACACTCTAACACTACATTTTTAAACCTACCCCATACCTCTTCGACCCCATTGCCAATGCTCTCATTAGCCCATCTATCCTCCAATAGCTGTTTATATCTTACCCTAACTGCCTCCTCTTTTAGTTTATAAACCTTCACCTCTCTCTTCCCTGATGCTTCTATTCTCCTTTTATCCCATCTACCTTTTACTCTCAGTGTAGCTACAACTAAAAAGTGATCTGATATATATGTGGGCCCTCTATAAACATGTTCATCCTGAAGTCTACTCAACAGTCTTTTATCTACCAATACATAATCCAACAAACTTCTGTCATTTCACCCTACATCATATCTTGTATACTTATTTATCCTCTTTTTCATAAAATATGTATTACCTATAACTAAACCCCTTTCTATACAAAGTTCAATCAAAGGGCTCCCATTATCATTTACACCTGGCACCCCAAACTTACCTACCACACCCTCTCTAAAAGTTTCTCCTACTTTAGCATTCAGGTCCCCTACCACAATTACTCTCTCACTTGGTTCAAAGGCTCCTATACATTCACTTAACATCTCCCAAAATCTCTCTCTCTCCTCTACATTCCTCTCTTCTCCAGGTGCATACACGCTTGTTATGACCCACTTTTCACATCAAACCTTTACTTTAATCCACATAATTCTTGAATTTACACATTCATATTCTCTTTTCTCCTTCCATAACTGATCCTTCAACATTATTGCTATCCCTTCTTTAGTTCTAACTCTCTCAGATACTCCAGATTTAATCCCATTTATTTCCCCCCCCCTGAAACTCTCCTACCCCCTTCAGCTTTGTTTCGCTTAGGGCCAGGACATCCAACTTCTTTTCATTCATAACATCAGCAATCATCTGTTTCTTGTCATCCGCACTACATCCACGCACATTAAAGCATCCCAGTTTTATAAAAATTTTCTTCTTCTCTTTTTTAGTAAATGTTTACAGGAGAAGGGGTTACTAGCCCATTGCTCCCGGCATTTTAGTCGCCTCATACGACACGCATGGCTTACAGAGGAAAGATTCTTTTCCACTTCCCCATGGACAATAGAAGAAATAAAGAAGAACAAGAGCTATTTAGAAAAATGAGAAAAACCTAGATGTATGTATGTATATATGCATGTGCGTGTCTGTGAAGTGTGACCAAAGTGTAAGTAGGAGTAGCAAGATATCCCTGTTATCTAGCGTGTTTATGAGACAGAAAAAGACACCAGCAACCCTAACATCATGTAAAACAGTTACAGGTTTCTGTTTTACAGTCATCTGGCAGGACGGTAGTACTTCCCTGGGTGTTTGCTGCCTACCAACCTACCACCTATATATATATATATATATATATATATATATATATATATATATATATATATATATATATATATATATATATATATATATATATATATTATATATATATATATTTGTATATATGTATATATATGTTTATATATATGTATATATATATATATATATATATATATATATATATATATATATATATATATATATTTATATATATATATAATACATATATATATATATATATATATATATATATATTTATATATATATATATATATATATATGTATATATATATATATATATATATATATATATATATATATATATATATATATATATATATGCAAAACAACCACTCTCAGAGTGGTTGTTTTGCATATTCTGAAATCACCTGTTTACTGTGATCTTATTGCATATATATATATATATATATATATATATATATATTTATATATATTATATATATATATATTATATATATATATATAATATATATATATATATATATATATATAGGTGGTGAATTTGCACTTGCTCTAGGTTCAAATTAAGTATATCAGTGCAAAACATTAACATAAAACTGCATTAATATGACTAATATATGTTTTATGCTGACTAACCTCTGTAACAGTAGTTGCAAAGAACAATGAAGTGTCATAGACCCACTGTGAACAAGATGCAGTTGTATTGAAAAACATATCCGGTTCACATTGGTCAGTAATGTTGTTTTTAAGTGTCCAGACATGACACTGGTCACCCTCTGGGATGGCCCACTCAGTGAAGTTCTCCTTGTAATTGGTACTGTTGTCATCACAATTTGGCACCACACATCTGGGTAGAGAAAATCGTTTATTAATATAAACATGACATCAAAATAAATACCGGTGCACTCTATATAAGTAATATTCTCTATCTCTTCAATTAAGATCTAAAAACTTATTGAAAGACAGGTTATTAAACACTGCAAATAATAAAACCATACCAAATTATTATAAGTTTCCATACACCTCCCATTTACTTTTTAAAACATGCTCGCCGTCTCCCACCGAGGCACGGGGACCCCAAAAACTTTCTGTTCTTCCACATCCAAACTCAAGTCTGGCTGAAGTCTGGCTGATCTCTGGCTGAAGGACACTCGAACCTACGAACCTTGGAACAAGGTACGCAGTGCTTTAAAAATCTACCCACACTGGACCAATACCTTGGAGTACAGATTACGCTAGTCTTCGATCCAAGGCAGCCAGCTTTTAGGGAGAAGGATTACAGCTTTTCATCTTATCCCCTGCATGCATCAGCCTTACTAGAGATATTAACAATGCAAGGAATTCACAAGAGCAGGCGAAATATACACAAACACTGACCTCTGGCTGAAGGAGACTCGAACCAACGAACCTTGGAACAAGGTACGCAGTGCTTTACCAATCTACCCAGACTGGACCAATACATTGGAGTCCAGCTTGCGCTAGACTTTGATCCAAGGCAGCCAGCTTTCAGGGAGAAGGATTACAGCTTTTCCTCTCATCCCCTGCATGCATCAGCCTCACTAGAGATATTAACAATGCAAGGAATTCGCAGGAGCAGGCGAAATATACACAAACACTGATCTCTGGCAGAAAGAGACTCGAACCTACGAACCTTGGAAGAAAGTACGCAGTGCTTTACCAATCTACCCACATTGGACCAATACCTTGCAGTACAGCTTGACCTAGACTTTGATCCAAGGCAGCCAGCTTTCAGGGAGAAGGATAACAGCTTTTCATCTCATCCCCTGCATGCATCAGCCTTACTAAAGATATTAACAATGCAAGGAATTGACTCAAGAAATCGTAATGACACGATTGCAATCGTGTCATTACGATTTCTTGAGTCATGTTGACGGCAGTGAAGGGACTTGAGCTAGAGTTCGTCAGGGCCACGCAAGCTGGAGATTCGTCTGTAAAAACTTGCATTTGTGGTCACAGAGGTGCCTGTGCTAACTTTCCTATGGTGTAGAAATATACCTAGTTGGATGAATCTTATTGTGGCTAGCTGGTCTAGTGGATAACGCGACGGGCTGGAGTTTTGAGACTCTATGACCGCGGGTTCAATCCCGGCCGGGGGTATGGTTTTTTTAATGCAAGGAATTCGCAAGAGCAGGCGAAATATACACAAACACTGATCTCTGGCAGAAGGAGACTCGAACCTACGAACCTTGGGAGAAAGTACGCAGTGCTTTACCAATCTACCCACACAGGACCAATACCTTGAAGACCAGCTTGCGCTAGACTTTGATACAAGGCAGTCAGCTTTCAGGGAGAAGGATTACAGATTTTCATCTCATTCACTGCATGCATCAGCCTTACTAGAGATATTAACAATGCAAGGAATTCGGAAGAGCATGCGAAATATACACAAACACTGATCTCTGGCTGAAGGAGACTCGAACCTACGAACCTTGGAACATAGTACGCAGTGCTTTACCAATCTACCACACAGGACCAATACCTTGCAGACCAGTTTGCCCTAGATTTTGATCCAAGGCAGCCAGCTTTCAGGGAGAAGGATTACAGATTTACATCTCTTCCTCTGCATGCATCAGCCTTACTAGAGATATTAACAATGCAAGGAATTCGCAAGAGCAGGCGAAATATACAAAAACACTGATCTCTGGCTGAAGGAGACTCGAACCTACGAACCTTGGAACAAGGTACGCAGTGCTTTTCCAATCTACCCAGACTGGACCAATACGATGGAGTCCAGCTTATGCTACACTTTGATCCAAGGCAACCAGCTTTCAGGGAGAAGAATTACAGCTTTTCATCTCATACCCTGCATGCATCAGCCTTACTAGAGATATTAACAATGCAAGGAATACGCAAGAGTACGCGAAATATACACAAACACTGATCTCTGGCTAAAGAAGACTCGAACCTACGATCCTTGGAAAAAGGTACGCAGTGCTTTACCAATCTACTCACACTGGACCAATACCTAGGAGTCCAGCTTGCGCTAGACTTTGATCCAAGGCAGCCAGATTTCAAGGAGAAGGATTACAGCTTTTCCTCTCATCCCCTGCAAGCATCAGCCTTACTAGAGAGATTAACAGTGCAAGGAATTCGCAAGAGCAGGAGAAATATACACAAACACTGATCTCTGGCTGAAGGAGACTCGAACCTAAGTACCTTGGAACAAGGCACACAGTGCATTACCAATCTACCCACACTGGATCAATACCTTGCAGTCCAGTTTGTGCTAGACTTTGATACAAGGCAGCCAGCTTTCAGGAAGAAGGATTACAGCTTTTCATCTCATCCCCTGCATGCATCAGCCTTACTGGAGATATTAACAATGCAAGGAATTCGCAAGAGCAGGCGAAATATACACAAACACTGATCTCTGGCTGAAGGAGATTAGAACCTACGAACCTTAGAACAAGGTACGCAGTGCTTTACCAATCTACCCGCACTGGACCAATACCGTGGAGTCCAGCTTGAGCTAGACTTTGACCCAAGGCAGCCAGCTTTCAGGGAGAATGCTTACAGCTTTTCATCTCATCCGCTGCATGCATCAGCCATACTAGAGATATTAACAATGCAAGGAATTCGCAAGAGGAGGCGAAATATACGCAAACACTGATCTCTGGCTGAAGGAGACTCGAACCTACGAACCTTAGAACAACGTACACAGTGCTTTACCAATCTACCCGCACTGGACCAATAACGTGGACTCCAGCTTGTGCTGGACTTTGACATAAGGTAGCCAGTTATCAGTGAGAAGGCTTACAGCTTTTCATCTCATCCCCTGCATGCGTCAGCCTTACTAGAGACATTAACAATGCAAGGAATTCGCAAGAGCAAGCGAAATACACTCAAACACTGATCTAAGGCTGAAGGAGAGTCGAACCTACGAACCTTCGAACAAGGTACGCAGTGCTTTAAAAATCTTCCAAAACTGGACCAATAACTTGGAGTGCAGCTTGCGCTAGACTTTGATCCAAGGCAGCCAGCTTTCAGGTAGAAGGATTACAGCTTTTCATCTCATCCACAGCAGGCATCAGCCTTACTAGAGATATTAACCATGCAAGGAATTCGCAAGAGCAGGCGAAATATACACAAACACTGATCTCTTGCTGAAGGAGACTCGAACCTACGAACCTTGGAACAAGGCACGCAATGCTTTACCAATCTACCCACACTGGATCAATACCTTGCAGTCCAGCTTGTGCTAAACTTTGATCCAAAGCAGCCAGCTTTCAGGGAGAAGGATTACAGCTTTTCACATCATCCCCTCCATGCATCAGCCTTACTAGAGATATTAACAATGCAAGGAACTCTCAAGAGCAGGCGAAATATACATAAACACTGATCTCTGTCTGAAGGAGACTCGAACCTACGAACCTTGGAACAAGGAAAGCAGTGCTTTACCAATCTACCCACAGGGGATCAATACCTTGGAGTCCAGCTTGCACTAGACTTTGATCCAAGGCAGACAGCTTTCAGGGAGAAGGATTACAGCTTTTCATCTCATCTCCTGCATGCATCAGACTTACCAGAGATATTAACAATGCAATGAATTCGCAAGCCAGGCGAAATATACACAAACACTGAAATCTGACTGTAGGAGACTCAAACCTACGAGCCTTGGATCAAGGTACGCAGTGCTTTACCAATCTACCCACACTGGACCAATACATTGGATTCCAGTTTGTATTAGACTTTGATCCAAGGCAGCCAGCTTTCAGTTAGAAGGATTACAGCTTTTCATCTCATCCGCTGCATGCATCTGCCTTACTAGAGATATTAACATTGCAAGGAATTCGCAAGAGCAGGCGAAAAATTCACAAAACACTAATCTCTAGCTGAAAGAGACTCGAACCAACGAACCTTGGAACAAGGAACGCAGTGATTTACCAGTCTAAACACGCTGGAGTCCAGCTTGTGCTAGACTTTGATCCGAGGCATCCAGCTTTCAGGGAGAAGGATTACAGCTTTTTATGTCATCCCCTGCATGCACCAGGCTTATTAGAGATATTAACACTGCAAGGAATTCGCAAGAGCAAACGAAATGTACACAATCACTGATCTCTGGCAGAAGGAGACTCGAACCTACGAACCTTGGAAGAAAGTACGCAGTGCTTTACCAATCTACCCACACAGGACCAATACATTGAAGACCAGCTTGCGCTAGACTTTGATACAAGGCAGCCAGCTTTCAGGGAGAAGGATTACAGCTTTTCATCTCATCCACTGCGTGCATCAGCCTTACTAGAGATATTAACAATGCAAGGAATTCGGAAGAGCAGGCGAAATATACACAAACACTGATCTCTGGCTGAAGGAGACACGAACCAACGAACCTTGGAACATGGAACGCAGTGCTTTACCAATCTACCACACGGGACCAATACCTTGGAGACCAGTTTGCCCTAGATTTTGATCCAAGGCAGCCAGCTTTCAGGGAGAAGGATTACAGATTTACATCTCTTCCTCTGTATGCATCAGCCTTACTAGAGATATTAACAATGCAAGGAAATCGCAAGAGGAGGCGAAATATACACAAACACTGATCTCTGGCCGAAGGAGACTCGAACCTGCGAACCTTGGAACCAGAAACGCAGTGCTTTACCAATCTACCCAAACTGGACCAATACATTGGAGTTCAGCTTGCGCTAGACTTTGATCCGAGACAGCCAGCTTTCAGGGAGGAGGATTACAGCTTTTCATCTCATCCCCTGCATGCATCAGCCTTACTAGAGATATTAACAATGCAAGGAATTCGCAAGAGGAGGCGAAATATACACAAACACTGATCTCTGTCTGAAGGAGACTCGAACGTACGAACCTTGGAACAAGGTACGCAGTGCTTT